TATCTCTTTTTCTATGCCCTAGAATAGTTCAAATAATATTTAGAACTCCTTGCTCTTTGAAGTTTTTATAACCTGTATAAAACTGTTCAAGTCTAGTGCCTTTTAAAGAAATAATCCTTTGATAATTTTAAAACATTTTCCATATTCATTGGTCTCTTCAAAGTTTCTTCTTATTCTGTAAGATTTTTGACAATTTAACTTTTACTAAATGATGATTGTCTTTATTTTCGGACTCTGTTAACATAGGATTGTACTATTTTACCCTTAGTGCTGTATGTCTCGGCTTCCTGTTTTTATTCTGATTAGTTTGTCAATAATTAGTCAATTTTTATTCATCTTTTCAAAATCTCAGCTTTGGAATTTATATGTATATCTCCAGTTTTATCATTTTATGATTGTTTTTTTTCCCTTGGTATTTTTCCAGCTTTTCAAGTTAAAGGCCATCTTGACTTCTTACCCAGGGAAGGACACAGTAGCTCCTGTGACCTTTCCTCTGAATAAATCTGTATCTTATAAATGTTTATGTATGATGTGAGTGTTATAAATAACTTATCACTTCAGACTGGAATTTATCTTTTACTTTTAGATTTCCCGATAATTTGTCTTTGTTGCCGTTGTTTTAAAAGTTTGTTACAGAGTCTGCTTTATTTCCTTGTTGTCAAGGAGGGTACGGCCTGTACAATTTGTGCATTTTTGGAGTTCATTAACATTTTGTTGAGACCTAATAAATTTTTAGTTTTAATAAGATACCCAGGAAGTTGGAAAAGGTATATTCTTTGAAAGCAACAATATTTGATCTATGTATATTAATTTGACCTTACTAAATATACTATTATGTACCTTTAAATTTTATTTTCTTAATTCATTAAAGACTAAGAAAGGCTTGTTCCCATTCTCACTGTATGTCTGTCCTTTTTTTTTTGTACCTAACACTTCTTGTGTATTTCTGTTTGCTGTAGAAAAATGACCCTTTCATATTTAAGGAAAAATTGTTTTCCTAAAGACTTGTGTCCCTTGGTTTTACCTGGCTTTGTTGTAATCGAGTTGTTTGTGTAGAAATACACAGCTCGCCGGGCAGTGGTGGCGCACGCCTTTAATCCCAGCACTTGGGAGGCAGAGGCAGGTGGATTTCTGAGTTCAAGGCCAGCCTGGTCTACAGAGGACAGCCAGGGCTACACAGAGAAACCCTGTCTCGAAAAACCAAAAAAAAAAAGAAAAGAAAAGAAAAGAAGAGAAATACACAGCTCAGTGAAATCTCTGTGTTTTTAAGCTGACAGAAACCTTTGGGAAGACCTTTGTGCCTCAAGATGATTTGTCAACACATGATATCCTCTAGATGCCCTTCCTGAGTAGACCAAGGGGTCCAGTCTGGGCCGAGGCTCCTTATCTTTGAGAGCAGAATGGAGGTTCTTTTGAGCATGTAAACATTTTCACTTCCAATTTGGGAGCAGCCTCTTACATCGGGATGCTTACGGGATGGATGGTTACCCCACAGCTTGCTATGTTTCTGCTACACCAGGACTCCTCGCCCTGCGTATACATTTTTCTTGTGGAGAGACTAGCTTTCTAAGAGAGGCAGTGACGCCAGTTGCCTGGATACAGGAGAAAAAAAAGCCAATTTCAGGGATACATCCTACTACAGCAGATCTTTCCAGAAGAATTTCAACGGGCTCTGCACACAACAGAGTCTGTGCCAGGCACAGGACCACCTTTCCCCAAATGTGTGGGAGGTGCAACTCCCAGCCCTCAGCTCAGGAATGGAAGACATATGACCTGTTGTGCCTACATTTAGTTTCTATTTTAAGCCCTGTTGCATCAGGCTCATGCAATTCTGGGTTCGGTCTTTCTCCCAAGATGTGTCCTTGACAGTCAGAGGAGGGCTTGGGGAGTGAGGGCACACGGAAAGAAGCACATGTATGCTGAGACACAGCAGCAGGCCTTTATAGTCAGCTGATGCACTGTTTCTCCTTCCTGGTCTTATCTGGCCTCAGACTTCTAACAACTTCTGGTTTGTTTTTATTGGGTTTCCAAAGTTCTGTCCAAGGTCATTTTACCCTAAGGTCTTTCCTTCCTGGCAGCGGGGAGGTGTCCCCAAGCAATTTCCAAATACCTGTCTGTACTTTGCATATTGCCTTGAGGGTGTTTACACTGCCCCACCTCACTTCTGTATGCAGACCACCTGCCTTCCAAGGCTGGCCCTGCTGGTGTTATCTGCTGGGCTTCACCTGAGAGACGCAGGCCTGTGCTTAGCACATCTCTCTCTCCCACCTGTGACTCAGCCATCCCTGCCCGCTTGCTGGTCCCCTCATCCATAATCTCTATTTCCTGGTTGCTCTTCCACAACGTTTTGCCAGAGATTTCTTACAAAACCCTGAGTAAATCGGCTTCCAGACCCAGCTCTAGAGCTCTTCTACCCCATAAGCTCCTGCTGGAGAGGCCTGGCTGCTATTTTCTGTGTCCTTTATTCATCCGGATCTTGACATGCTCCGTTCCAGTCCCATGCCTCTCCGTGGACCCAGGTTAAAGATCCCATGAAGTCCAACCACTCCTAGGGGCTTCTCATCCTCTGAATAACTCTTACCATACATAATAGGATTTTGTTTTGTTTAGACAGTTTTGAGAATCCCAGGCTGGTCTTGACCTCTGTACTGTCACTTTTGTAGGTGGTGTTAGTTATTTATTATTAATCCTCTGTTTTTTTTTTTTTTATCTGTTTTTGTGAGGTGGATGTGGAGGCCGGAGGACAACTTGCAGCAGTTGGTTCTTTCCTATTGCCATGTTAAATCCAAGAGTGTGAGGAGAAAAGAAGGAATCCATGACTGTCCAGTTAAAGCAAGATGTATCTGGGGGTCCACGTGAGACTGGCCAGCCCTCTGTCTCACTCTAAATCAGGATTGGAGAGAGCAGCCCCTGCCCGCCTCTGGAGGTCCTTTTTATAGGGGAGATAAGGTGTTCACAGGGGCAAGAGTTGGCTGTTACACATCACTGGGACGATAACATGAAAGGGAAGGAACAAGGTGCATAATATGTAGATAATATAAGTGGGGTGGCAAGTTTAGTGTAGCTTGAAAAACATGCAGTTTCGATCAGATTTAAGAAACGGGTACCTTAACTTGCAAGGACTTACCACAGGCACTCATCCTTTTAACTACAAACAGAAACCTTAACTTGCACAGGACAAACAGAACCCCTAACCTGCAGGGTACATTTTTCCAGCTTTGTTCTCACACATGATGAACTCAGGTTGACAAGCTTGGTGGCTTGTGTCTTTATCCATTGAGCCATCTAACCTGGCCTGATGTTAAAACTTTAATGTGTATGTTTGTATGTGTGCCTGTGTGAACTTGTGTGCATCGTGTCCATACCAAGTGGCCATGGAAGCCAGAAGAGGGTGTCAGATCCCCCGGAGCTAGATTTACAGCAGGTTGTGAGTCATCTGCAACAGGTGCTCTTACTCCCTGGGCCATCCTTAAGTGTTAGTGCTTGTAAGGACAGTCTCAGAACAGCTGCCCTCTGGGTTATCAGCCCACTTCAGAACGTCTTCCTAGAGTAAGGCCTCTGCGGACTGCCTGGCAACCTGTCTCCTATTTTGCCTTAGACCAACGGCCCCCAAAGAGGAGCCTGTGACTATTAAAAGGCAAAATGGGCTTATGGGAGGTTACCTGCGTGGTCTGGGTGGATCCTGTATACTCAGTTGGCTCGGCAGAGTTTAGAGGATGCTGCCAGTGTATATGGCCACCCCAGAACCAGACTCCACATCCCCAATCCAACCAGCTGGGTAGGAAACACCACCCCACTAGACTATTCACTCATCTTTGAGACTGGGTCTTGCCTGTCCTAGGCTTGCCTAGGGCTTACGACATAGCCAAGGATGGTGTTGAACTCTGGACCCTTTGAGTGCTAAAATAACAGGTATGTACCATGAAGCCTGGCTGTATGCCATGCTAGAAATTAAACTCAGCTTCATGTATGTTAGGCAAGCACTCTACCAACTAAGCAATTCCAGTAACTTAAGCTTCAGAGCAAGACTGTGGGGACAGAAGCAAGCAGTGTGGTGACTGGGCTAAAACCTGCAGTAGGGCAGGGTGCTGCCCAGGGGCAACAACCAGCTTTCAGTCAGTGTATCAGGCAGCAGGGCTGGCCCTCACCTTGTGTATCAAGAAGCAGTGCTTTGGAAACCACTTGGCTTGGCTGAAGGGCAGGTAAGGGAAATGAGCGAGAGAAGGTTCTAGAAGTTTGCAATGCTAAAAACACCCCTGGGTCGGGAACTTTGGGAGAACTTGTTTGTGAAAAGGGTCACTTTTTGAAAGCTTCTCAAAACCTTTGGTAAAAGCAAGCTGAGAGAGAACCCAAACCTGCTGTAGCTTCCCGACACTGAAATTGCAGTGCAGAATGGGAACAAAAAAAAAACAACTGAAAGACAAGCAAGTCCTGCAAAGCTGTGATTTGGCCAGGTTTTCAAATACCAAATTCATTCCAGAGGAGCAAGAGGCCTGAGGCAACCAAAGACACCCCTGAACCCAGGTGCAGAGGCAGTGTGAGCCCAGGGCTTCCTGACAGGTGGCAGACCCACGGCAGGCTGACAGTGGCCACAGAGACAGGTCCAAGTGCAGCTGCTGAAGGGTTCAGACCTCTCCCAGTCATCCCAGGCTGATACTGGCCAGATGGAATGAAAAGAGATGGGAAGTCTCTGGAAACAAGAAATGTGGGTTCATTTAGTGTGGCAGAAATCCAGGATTGAGGACTAGGGTGAGAGGTTAAAGGAACGGAGGTGAGGCAGCGTGAAGAGTGACCAGGCTGCTGCACACCAGTCCCCAGTCCCTCTCCATCCCTGACTTAGCACGAGGGAAGATGTTCTCGGAACACCAGCTCCTGAGGTGAACGATGCTGTTAGTGCCTTTAACACTTGCTCAACTGAAATCTTGGGACATTTTCAACTCCCCAGGCAGGAAGAGCTTTGCTTTCACAGTGGATTACAGATCATGTCCTCATAACACAGATGCACTATAAATATTGTTTATTATGAGTTCCTGTGTTCAATATACAAAATAAAATTTAAATATTGAAGGTAATTCTGTGATATATATAATTTATTCTGATTATTGCCAAAATCATGTTCACACTCAAGCCTTGAAGTCTGATGAACAGTTCATACAGTTGGAGTACACTGTCTAGTGTGTACCATAGGTCTGTCCCCACAGGATCAGACGGTGACTCTAGAGTGACAAAGTACTGTTCCCATGTCCAGCCTACCAACCAGTGGGTGTCATGTGTCAGTCAGCACACCTTCAGTGTCCTCCCAGGGTTGCAGCTTCTCAGGGATGCCTCGCTGACCTGGGGTTCTGGGCCTGCCTGCATCTGTCAGCTGAAGTGCCTGTCGTCCCACTCGGTAGGGCTCTGCTCATCAGTGTCCTCCTCTGAGTCGGCGGACACTTTCTTGATTCTCTTCAGGGCTTCCCGGATGCTCCTCTCCAGGTCACTGCCGCTCTTCTTGCTGGGATCCACACCTGGGCCCGTGTGGACTTTCTTCAGCTGCACTCCCTGCCTGATGGCAGCCAGAACTTGTTCATTGACTGAGGTGCGGGGACCGGGCAGTGTGTGCGTTTCTACTTTCCGGAGAGAGGCCCTGTCCTGCCGGAGGGAGGCCAGCACTTCACTCATAGAGCCTGAAATGAGAGAGCAAGTATGAAGATCCGGGCTTCCAGAAAACATACCTGTTCATGCCACGATCTAACAAACACGCATGCTGCAGTGATCATGCACAGATTAGCTCTTGGCACACACTCCCTACTTCCATCAGAACAGCTGGACAGCTGAGGGTTTACCCTACCCACCGCCTACTTCTTCAAACCCGCTGTACGTTACAGACCACAGCCGTACCCATCTCTGCTCACGTGCCCTAAGATATCCCAGATGCCTGCGGTGGAACAATCTGACCCACAGGGCGAGACTAAGCTCCCTCTAAGTTGTATTCCCTCCATTCCTTTCCCATTAAGAACATCTGAACGTTCGCCCCACACTCCTCTACTTCTGTCTTGGCAATTGGTCAGTGGCCTCACCCGTGACCACAGCTGAGTAGTTTCTATACACAGGAAGGCTTTGAGTAATATACTCTGTCACCATCTCAGTGAGGCCGATGATGAGAGGTGCCAGCACGGTCCCTGCAGTGTCTGACTGACTCCACCCACCTTAGCTCAGTTGCCTAAGGGCTCTATTTTTGAGGGTGTGAAATGCTGTCAAAACACAAATTAGCTGAGAGTTCCAAGACACTGGGGAGAAGCTATTTTTCAAAAACTCTGGCACCCTGGGACCATGAGGGGCTGAAACCTTTCCTCACCTGCCAGACACAGGGCCATGAGTAAAGCTACTAACGTTGGCATGTGCCAGGCGAGGCTTCAGGATTAACATTCGCTTCTAGCTGGGGACTGAAGAGCTGGCAATAGCTAACAATGCATGTTCCATTCTGGACTGGAGATCTCACCTAATCCGATTGGGGAACTCACTAGGCAAGTCCCACAACCGAAAGCTCTAACTCACACTTTCTTATCTCCAGTACCACAGAGTAGTGTAAGTTAACAGAGCCCCTAAAATTGTATGTATCCAAGCCAAGCAGAGTACACTCCCCACCCAAGACCTGCCCACTTCCAAACTCTAATCTGGGCAGACAAAAGACCAAACCCTACAGTTGGGCTGCTCGCCACCTGAGCCTGTAGACACTTCCCTTCATACCCTGTTCTGCACACACTGAAGCCCCAAACTCAGAATGAGCAGAGTGTGCAATTAACCAAAACCAGCATGTAACTGTTCCACGGGCTTCACACTCATCCCTATCCCTGCAACTATGTTCTAGGTGGAACGACTCAGCCAGAGCCCAGCAATTGCCAGGGTTTATCTAAGACAATCCTCCCCAAAGCAGTAGGCATGGAGTCTTGGCAGGTTCAGGATAGTTTCTCCCAAAAGCCAATGCTCAAAGCCATAATTAGAGTTACCATGAGAACTGTGGCCCTTGCTCAGGTGAGTGTATTCAGCGCGAAAACAAGAGGTGGCCTACTTTTCTGGTATTCTCGATTAACTTCAACACTTGAGATCTGAGAATGACTCAGAGATGTAACAGCACCAGTCACAGCTGTGCTGAGAACCACTGGTAGAACTCTCACCATGCTGAAGTCCAGGGAAGCATATCCTTACAGTTTCAGGGGCCACACCACATGGTCAGCAAATGCACAGAGACTGGTCTCAGGCTGACTTAGCTTTGTCAAACTCAATCTCGCCTATACTAATTGCAATAGGAGAGTACTAACAAGACAACAAATAGTGGCACGCTCTGAGACTAGGAAATTCTGAAGAAGATTTTAAATTGAAACTGAGGGATTTCTTCAACAGCTCAAGAACCCAGAGAGAGGGCAGAACTGCAGAGGATTACCTGGACACTGGAAATCCTCCTGCCAGTCACATGGTCTTCCAGTATTTGTGTCACATGATAGGGGCAGTGGCTGGTCCTCTGTTGCCAAAGTCCTGAGCCCTAAATTCTGATGAGTGGTACCTTGAAAAGTGGACAGAGCAGGGAGAGGAAGAGGGGGTGGAGGAGGGGGAAGTGGTGGAGGGGGTGGTAGCTGTGGTGGTAGTGACAGATCTTCACTGGATCGGGAGAGTGGCTGGTCTCTAAAGGAAACAGCAGCCTGGTCAGGGATACTGCCACAGGGGTCTGGATGCTCAGGGGTTTTCATATAGGCATCAGGTAGGGGAGTAGCACTTCCGGTTTTGCTGGAGGCAGGATGAGCTATCTTGTGATGAGCTGTTGAGAGCCTCTTCTGAGAACCTCCACCTGACAGGTCTGACACCATGGACTCTGAGCAAGTCGTTTTCAGTGCAGATTGCTGAGCTGGGCACTTCTAAGGATGAAAAGCTAGTGAGAGATTGGCCACAATGCAAGCTGTCAATTGGTGTAACTCTGCAAACAAATCTATAAACCTCCCGGCCACCAACCGAGACCCATACTCCTGAGCCTGCTTCCTGAGTTCCAGGACCACTGCCCGAGCAGTGGCAGCAGTGCTGCCTTGACCTTGGAACCACCCCAGGCTAGAGAGAAGCACTATCTTACAGGCCAATGCTTCCTCCTTGGTGACATTTTAGAGATTACAAAGAAAAAGGAAGTAGGTGGACCACTCAGAGTACTTGTGCAGAGAGCCCGTCTCCAACCCGCAGAGCGCACACAGAAAGCCAGGTGTGGTGACAGGAACCTGTAACCCCAGAGCTACGGTAGAGCTATGTTGAGTTCCAGGATAATGAGATCTTGTCTCAAAAAACAAGGTGGAAAGCCTCTGAACCTCCCCCCCACATATGTGCTTAAACATACACTTAAAAAATGAAAATAAGAGAAGCTGACACCAATGGTAGCCAAGAGCCACTCAGAGAGAACAGGAGCCCAACCAAGTACATTTCCATGTCGTCAATAGCAGCATGGTGGCACACACTCACACAGCAGCTGTGACCGGGCATGGTGGC